ACGGTTTGCTTTGAGCTTTTCTATGAAATAGCTCCCTTTTGCGAGATGATAGAAATTCCACGTCTGGATATGCATTCACTCTCGCATAATCAAAATCTGAATATCCCACCATGTGGAGTGAATCAGATCTTTTATATGTCATCATGAGGCCTTTCGTTCGTTGCAAATAATGCAAGACTTTCTTTACTAATTTCAGTGTTCTATTCCAGAATTGCTCTGAAATCTGCCAAGTAAAACCCGGTAACAAATGCCAAGTCAGGGCGCGTACATACTTGAGCATGTAGTAAGCTTCCGACAGCTGAAGCATATGGAACCACTTTCAGTTTATCAATTGAGCTCATATTGGTTCCTGGGGCATTGAAAATCCCCATATCCGTCGCCCTTGACTACAGGAGCAGGTGAGGGACTATATTTGTGCATACTGAATTTCTTTAAGATCTTTTTCATGTATGCCTTTTGTGACAGTCATTATATCTTTTTCTTCTATCTCGGTGAATCTCGATCCCTAGAACGAACGAGGCTTCGTCAAGATCTTTCATATCAAGTTTTGAGAACAAAACTTCTTTGTCTCCTGTAGTAGACTGACATCACTACTAGCAAGTAAGATATCATTTACATACAGGATAAGGAAGATAAACTTCCCAATCTTAAACTTTGCATAGACACAATTGTCCTCTACATTCTCTTTAAAATCCAAAATTCTTTATTGTCTGATCAAACTTCAAGTACCACTGTCTTGAAGCTTGTTTTAATCCATGAATGGATTTCTTTAGGCGGCATCCCATTCGTTCTTTTCCTTCCATGACAAAACCTTTCGGTTGTGCCATGTTAACATTTTCCTCCAAGTCTCTGTTGCGAAATGCCGTCTTTACATCCACATGACGTAATTCTTAATCGTAATGTGCCACTAATGCCATTAAGATTCTGAAGGTAATTTTACATGAGACTGAAGAAAAGGTCTCATTGTAATCAATCCCTTCTCTTTGCATAAAGCCTTTTGACACAAGTCACCCTTTATATCTCTCTATATTCCCTTGAGAGTCAAGTTTTGTTTTGTAGACCCGTTTACAGCCTACTATTTTGGCTCCTTTAGGAATTATTTCCAAGTCCCAAACTATATTGGCATTTATTAATTTCATTTCATCTTCCATGGCCTCAAGCCACTTTGATGAATGATTACTTTTCATGGCTTATTCAAATGAGGTGGGATCATCCTCCATTTGAAATTCTTTAGTGTTGTACACTTCATAATCAGCAAGAATAGCTGATTTTCTAACTTTTGAGACCTTCTAGGGGTCTTCACATTTGGCACATCTTCTGTTTGAGGCTGTTGTTGCTCCCCCTCATGTGTGGCAATAGGTTCTATAGGATCCTGAAGAACAGGTTCCTCATCGTTATTCATTATTGCCACAGGTGGGATAACAACAGGTGCTAGCACCACAGTATTTAGTACTGTCGGTGCAGCGACAACAGGTAGTGAGAAAAATGGCCCATGAATCATTAGAGTGGGCGCAAACACCCGCTTCACTTCAAGGTCAATTTCTCAAGCTACCATGCTCCCCCTCATCAATTCATCCTCTAGGAAGACAACGTGTCTCGTTTCTACAAACTTTGTATGTCTTTTTGAACAGTAGAAAACGAAAGCCTTTTGACTTTTCTGGATAGCCAAACAAATGGCAACTTACTGTTTTGGGATATAACTTCCCAATGTTTGGGTTAAACACTTTAGCCTCAGCAGGGCTCCCCCACATTCACGGAAGTGGATTAGCGAGGGTACTCTTTCTGTCCACAACTCATACGGTGTTTTGGGCACCGACTTTCTTGATACTCTATTGAGAATATGAATGACGGTTTTAACACCTCCATTCACAGGCTCAACTGTTGGGTGGAGTGTCTTATCATACTGCCCACCATATCCATCAGGGTACGATTGATTCTTTTAGCTACTTTATTCTGCTGAGGTTCGCCCGGTATGGAATACTGGGCTACTATGCCATTCTTTTAGGGTATGCCGACCGTAGTACTCCCCCACGGTCAGACCTGACTATCTTAATCTTTAATATCTTAAATTTATCTAATACATCTTTTCTTTCTTTGATTGGATAAATATAGTCATAATGGGAGTAATCATCTGTGAATGGATCATAACCATCCACACTCTTTACAAGAAAGCTGACCACAGATGTCAGTGTGAATAATCTATAAAATTCATGTGCTTCGTTTGTCATCTTTCTTTACATACTTTTCTTTTATGCATTCTCTGCATTGTTCTTAATCCGAGAGCTCTAATGGAGGAAGAATATCATTCTTAACTAATCTTTCCATTCTCCCCCTCGAAATATGGCATGAACGATAGTGCCATAATTTCTACGATGCATTGTGAGCTCTCTTATGCCACCATTATCAGAGTGACTATCTGTCACCAGCTGCTTTATCAGCTAAATAACACATGTCTTTGAAGAGCCAGTGAACTGACTCTTTATTCTATCGAGGTACGCGGTGACCATGTCACACTGGCTCAACGTGTTCTTTATCACAGCCAAACATTTCTTGTTTGCAGTGACCCACTTCCTATGCTCAAAAGCCATAGGATATATTTTGGGATTCAAAATCCCTTTCTTTAGTTGCCCAAGTGGCATCATTCTCTTTTGTCTCCCTCACCGGTGCCACAATCTCAGTGAAACACGGTGAGGTGACTACCCAGTCCACCTTAGACAAGATAAAAACCAGGTCAAAACTTTTCTTAACATAAAAATAACACCATTTGCATGCCTTGATTCCAACGTTGGTCAAAATCAAAACATATAATTATTGTTATACACTAATTCTACATCATCGTTGGGCAGAAATAGAATTAATGCATAAATCTTTAACTTTCACAACTGTTCTTACACACTAATTCTACATCACCGTTGGGCAGAAGTAGAATTAATGCATAAATCATTAACCTTTTATAACTGTTCTCATGCACTAATTCTACATCACCGTTGGGCAGAAATATAATTAATGCATAAATCATTGAAATTATCAACTTTTCTTATACACTAATTCTACATCACCGTTGGGCAGAAGTAGAATTAATGCATAAATCATTAAAATTATGATATTGTTATTAACAACGTTGGTCAGAAAATAATAACATCATAATCATGTCAAATCTCTTTTTCTCCAATTAAATACCACATTAGTTCAAAATAACTGGAGAATCAATATTTTCTTTAGCAGCGGAAAAAATCTCTTTTTCTCCAATTAAATACCACGTTGGTACAAATTAACCGGAGAATAAACAATTTCTCTAGCTGTGGAAAAACTTCTCTTTTCCTTGAATTTTACCCACAGGGAAAAATGTTTTTTCTATTTTCTTTAATCCATTAATCAATTTCCAGGAAATAAACATTTACTGGAAATAGAAAAAGGAAAAACTTCTCTTTTTCTGTACTGTTCCTTCGGCCCAAAACGGCAAGGCGGCCCACGGCCCACGGGAAAAACCCTAGCTTCATTCTTCCCGGTGCTCTCTCTCTCATCGCCTCTCTCTCTTTTCTCCTCAAAAGAACGCAGCCAAGAACCCGCGAGCGACGAGCGGCTAATGCAGATGGAGCAGAGAGCCCTGGGCTGCGCCGTCGTTGCCCCCCTCGGCGGCGCGCGCTCCCCAACAGTGGCTGCGCGCCGCCGTCAGCAGCTTTGGCCGCTGCACACCGTGTGGCTCGAGTCCAATGAAAGCAGCACCCGGAGTTCGGCCTTCTTTTCCCCGCGCGCCGTTGGTTCTTTGACGGCGAGGTAAGCCAAATCGGCTCTTTCTCTTTTCTCTTTCCCTTTCTTCCTTCTGGGATTAACCCGATTTGGGGATGGGGTCATGATTTAGGGTTAGGGTTCGGGATGGGGTTTCACTGTTCATCTTCACACGCCGGCGAGGCGGCAGCCCTTCCCTTCTTCCCCTTGTTCTTTTCGATTTGGATTGAGCTTCTCTCTTTCCGTTTCATTGTTCATCCAAAATCGAGATCTAGGGTTAGGGTTCGGGTTTTCAATTGATTTCTTTTCTTATTTGTACCGAATCCCTCTTTTCTCCTTCCTTTACTTCTTCTCTGATCTGAACACGGATCTGTTCTTTCTTGCCGTGTCAGTGCGGCACTTTTCCCGCGCGGTGGCAGTGGTGACCGGGGTTCCAGTGACCTCCGCCACCCCCGGTCCCTTTTCCTTTTCTTTTACCCGGTTAGGGTTAGGGTTACACAGAGACAACCTCGCTCTGGTACCATTGTTAGGATCGATGTTTACCTTTGTGTGTGTAACCGTAGATCCGGGTAACATTCCATTCGCCGTGCGCGGTTGCGCTGTGACCTCGCGGACGCCGGTGTTGAGGCAGCTCTGGCTCGGTGGCGAGGTCCAGTGGCCCGGGTGGTGACCTGCAGGGGAGATGGCAGAGTCGGTGGGCCATCCCGTCGCTGGCAGCACGGCTTTAGGATCGGATTAGGGTTTCTCTGTAGGTGGGTGGCGGTTCCGATGAACCTCGTTATTCGAGCCCTCACCCCCACCTTCCTTTTATGTGTGCTGTGTGACAGGGGCCCACCAACCGGATTAGGGTTGGGCTCCCCCGATCAGGGAGCAGAGATAAGGGCCCTATTGGTGGAGATCAACTAACAAAAATATCACACCATCGGCCGACTTGTTTTCTCATCGTGCCTGGGCATGCATGGACAATCGTCCCTAACTGTCAAGAAGAAGGACCATTTGACCCTAAACGCTTGCGATTAATCACTCCATTGGGCAGTGCAGGCAACCTAATCCTCTCATAGTTTAAGGCAGCCCTGCTCTCTCAGTCAGTCTCTCTTGCATTGCAACTGGGGTTATATAAGCACCATTCCTGTCACCGCCGGGGGGCATTAGCCATCGTTCAGACATCCACTCCTCTCCCTTTCTTTCCCCTATATAGGAGCCAGCCATAGGAGCAGAACAAGCCAAGCACAAAGCTGAGCTAGCTGCCTAGCTAGAGATCGACGGAAATAATGGGCAACATGCTGCCATGCCTGGTGCAACAAGCAGGCACAGCAGGTGCTCTGGCGCCGGCCATGAACCGCAAGCGGAGGCTCATCTCCCTCAAGCTCCTCATGAAGGCCATCCACAAGATGAAGAAGAAGAGCCCCCGTCCCGGCAAGGCGGCGGCCAAGATAGATAGCAAATCATCGTCGTTGTCGTCTTCAGCGGCGGCCGCGGTGGAGGACGGGAAAGGAGGAGAAGTGCTTGATGAGGCGAGAAGCAAGGCCGCCGCCAGCCGCACCAACAACCCCAAGGGCGCCGTGCTGAGGTCCAGGCTCCACGGTCAGAGAGGGGGCCTCAATAAGAAGGGGAAGGGCGTCGTGCGAGTGAAGGTGGTCCTGACCAAGGAGGAGGCCGCGCGGCTGCTGTCGCTGACCGTCGGCGGCCAGAAGCACACCGCCGCGCAGATCGTGGCCGAGATGAGGAAGATGGAGGCCCGCCGCGGCGCCGCCAATGCGGCGTGGCGCCCCGCGTTGGCCAGCATCCCGGAGGAGTCGTCGTAGGAACGAAGACCGGACGATCGATGAGTTCCTTTGTTTATACGTAGCTCCGGCCATGTGCTTTCTTCCCTAGTAGGCAGTCGTGCTCCATGCGTTCATGGAAGCTCAGAAGCGGCCTCGATCTCCGGTGGTGATAGGAGACTGAAGAGCAAGCGAAGGAGCTAGCAGAGAGACTTGGGTTGAGAGGCGAGGTGACGACGGCGTATCGTACGCTCCCCCTCCCATGCACACGCCCGGCCGGTGTAGATCCTTGCCGTGCCGGTGTACAGCTAGCTTCCCTTTTTTTGAAGCTTTTGTGTTGTTCTCTTCTCCCTGTATGTTACAGTATTCGTCTCGATCAGCGCTGTTGTAGTGTCACTAGCAAGTGAAAGAAATGGAATGCAAAACTTCGTTCAGTTCTTCCTCATGAAATGTTTGATGAATACTGTAGCAAATCCAGCTGCATCAAACGTACTGAATTGGCTGTTTTTTTTTTTTTCCATACGTACGAATAGTTTCAGGTTTTCTAATGGGTGATGTACATGTACGTATAATTCATGACTCCTTTAGTGCATACACATCACTTTTCCACAGATATCTCGATCTGCAGCTGCAAATGAATCAGTGCGTCTGCGTCATACACTTCGCAAAAACAAGTGGAAGAACGAAGGAATAAACAATGAAAAGAAGGAGCCGTTTCGATTCAGAGTTTGTTGGCCGAGCCCGATTTGAATACTCGTTTCATCAGAAAGAAAGAAAGCCCGATTTGAATAACAACGAGGCAATGCAACTATGTGTTTTGTCTTGATTGAATCGATCGCAGCCTACTAGCTCCGGATCGGGCAACACTGATTGGGTACATCCGCATGATAGACGGGCGCCCATGTGCAGTTGTTCTCTTCTTCTGCATTTTTTTATATGATTGCTGCTGGATGCCTGGATAACAGATAAACAATACGAGGGCTTAGCTAGTGGATTAGGACTTGGGAAGCATAAACAAACCCTTGCAAATTGCAGTAAACAAAGGGCTTTCATGAGCTAGTGTTGTGGTTGAGTTGCGGTGGACGGTGGTCTCATCGCGGGGCTCTTCTTTATTGCAAGATATTTTCCACGTTGCCTTTTTTCGCGGATCGTTGCATTTTTTGACAAATTAAAAATGTTGGATCCAGCTAGCTGTACTATGAGAATATATCCATTTTTTTTGTCTCCGATCGGGATGTTGTAGCTAGCTAGGTTGCTGAAAAATTTAAACGAGATAAGAAAAATGCATGAATAGCATGTTTTCTTTTGGCAAAATATGTATCACGGAATGCAATAATGTTAGTGTATCGTATTCTAATGAGCTAGCATCGTCCTAGCTAGTCCAAGTCCAATCTTCTATTTTAAAGCAAACAAGATAAATTAAAGAAGGTGAACCATTGGACTTGGTAAAGAAGAGGATGACGGCGAGTCCTTTGTTTCTTGAAACATAGTACATGTATACGTAGATGCTCAGGTACATAAGTCACCAGGCTCGTCGTCTACCAATGAAAAAAATACAAGCACTACAGTCAAGAGGACTTAACTAAATCTAGATGAGCAGCTTTCATCGTAAGGAAGCTAACCAGTTGAGCTAGGCTTCGCGCCGGCGAGAGTTCAATTCGTTTCCACCAATTGCCAAGTATTACTTCCACATGTTGTAGCTGAAAAATAAAACTTGAGCATCTTTCTGGTTGTAAAATATGGCACATAATATGCATACATATACATATTCAACTGGGCATGAACAGACCCGGCCAAATCAACGGGGATCGTCCACGCACTCCACCGTACCGTAGGGAGAGAGAAACAAACAAACCTGGCATGCATTTCCTCCGCCACGTAGGTCTTGTTTGGATGCGCATGTATTCATCTCAATTCACATATGTTGAAGTGGAATTAAACTAAATTCCATTCCATTCCACTCCAACACACGTGGATTGAGGTGAATATACGTGCATCAAACAAGGCCGTAAGGAACTTAGGAAGCTAAGATAACATGCATGACGACGATTCACTACACGCCAAGTGTCGATACACATTCTACTCTCTTTTGTTTTTGAGTTCTCAACTAAACCTCAAGCAGGTCGATGCATCAATGGAGTTGACCCGGCCAGTAGTTGTGGTATGGTAAACTGTAGTAGAACGTAGAAGCGACAAGGGCGCAGGGCAACTGAACCGAGACGACGGACGGACGGACGGACGCGGGCAGAAGAGGACGAGGACTGGCGCCCGGGAAAGCCGACGGTGGTTGGGCCATGTGTGTGTCTCGCGGGGCAAGCCGGGGCCCGGTGGGTCGCTACAGCCAAAACCGATTCGGCGAGCGCATGTGCCTGCCGGGCTCGCTCGTGTCCGCCCGGCGCAGTTTTTGCCCCCGTTTCGCGCGATCTCGGGGGATTTCTCCGGGTCCGGGGCCGACCGATGGATTATTCCGGTGGTTCAGGTGGTGCAGGTGCGTCGTCGACCGCGCGGCAGCTAGCAGTGGTTGGTTTGCTTGCGACGTGGGGGCTGGGTTTGTAGCTGTTTACCCTCCGGATCTCTCTACCCGTTCGGGTTTCGATCCAGTGCATATATCGTGTCGGACAGGAATCATTCAGTCAGTAGAGTATATGCTCCGGATGGCCATGGCATTGGGCACCCAACAATGGATATGACTCGCACCTTTACTTTACGTGTACTAGTATTATACTGTATGCTAGAGCTTATTATTGTCTGGCGGCCTCCTCCCCTAGGCCACTCCAGCAGATCTCTTATATGTTGTTGTTGTGATTTTTGCTCATATATATGTATGATCAGTATATCACTCTTTATAGTTTCTTTGATAGATCACGTATGCACATGTTTTTTTTGAAACCATCACGTATGCACATGTTTGTTACAAATCTTTTACTATTTTCTATATTAAAATATATCTTAATTTATACCTATAGATATGTAACACCTACATACCTTCTCCAGGCTGATGTCGTCCCGATCATCTAGCCATCTATAAAGGCATCTGGAATGCTAGAATTTCATGTCTTAAGGATGACATGGTATTCTTGAGGTTGACCTCAAACATTACGATATCGGTCCTAGTACAAAAATTCTTATAGTCAGATCTCAAGCCTAAGACATGTCCTTACCCAGCGTGGCTAGTTAGCGCCCGGACCTCCGGATGCCCGCACCTGCCCGTCTGATGCACATGCTGCTGCATGTTGTACACTACTCTGTTTTATTATTGGTGCGTGGACGTTTTATTATTGCCTACCTAAACTGATACGCATGTTCTGCTACACGCGCCCGCATGCACCTACCGCTGCTGCACGCCGACGCATGCTACCTTGGCTGTTGCGCAAGGTGTGCTGCCTACCCCGTCCTGCTGCACGCGCCTGCTGCTCTGCTGCTGCGTGCCTACGCATTCCATGCTACTGCACATGCATGCCAGTATGCTGCTGGGCATGCACGCAGGGACCGCCTCTGCCTGTGCTCGCTTCTCGTGCCTGCTAATAAAAACACTTGCAACATGGAGTACCTGCTGCAACATACGTCTGAAACAGATAAAACATTTGGAAACATACTCTTGCAACATATGCGTATAACCTGCAACATATGCAACATCTAGATAAAACACTTACAACATACTTTTGAAAACAGCTGAAACATTTGAAATATACACTTGCAACATATGTGTATAGCCATTGCAACTTATGCAACTTCTATATAAACACTTACAGCTTGCAACATGAAAACACTTCCTACAATATAAGACTGGAACATTTGAAATATACTCTTACAACATATGTGTAAAACATATACAACATCCAGATCAAAACGCTTGCAAACGTACGTCTGAAACAGATGAAATATTTTGAACAGACGCTTGCAACATTTATCTGAAACACTTGCAACATATGCCGACAATCATTGTAGGCGAGGAGATCTAGCGGTAGTAGTGGGTTGGAGATCCGGTGGTGGCGGTGGGGAGATGAGGTGGTTGGAGGGTTTCGATGCTGTGTCCGATGGTGATAGTGAGGGAAGCCCCGGTTTGATGAAATTTGGATAACTTATAGATTTTAGATCCAAGTCAAACTATTTTAAGGGCCTCTTTGGCAGGGCTTGGGCCTCTCCAAAATGATGAAGCTAGGAGAAACCGCATTTTGGTGGCTTCAACTTGTGCCCAAAAGACGACTTTGATTTTACTAATTTGTCTTGGTCTTGACTTCAGAAGCTATTCCTGTATGTGCTAGTTTGGTAAAACTTTTAATTAAACCGGTGAAGAAGCCACAACAAAAATTCCCTTTAATCAATTTTTAAAAAAAATCATATATAAAAGATAAATTAGTTTCAAAGAGAGAGAAGGGGGCAACTTGGAAATTCTCCATCCTCTAGTGTCGGAGCTTTTTTTTTAGAAAATCTAGTGTCGGAGCTAAAAGCATTTTTTATCGCAGACAAACAAAGAGCACCTATATATTGAACTCATGAAATACATGGGCCGAAATTGGCCTGATAATCCGGACGGGCCGGGCCAGTTGCTCCAGGGCGCAGGCGTTTTCACCCAGTACTGCACCAGGCGACCAGCCCAGCCTATGATGAACTCGTGGGCCTCAGCTGGTACGTCGCTCGTCGTCTCTCGTCCCACACTCTCACTCACGCATTCTGCCGTCCCCAACTGCCCTGCCCAGGGAGGCAGGGACGAGCACCGGCCAACCTCACACCGACGACATGGCAAAACAACTCTACGCATGCACGCCGCTTGTCACGTACACACCCTACGTATAGTATATATGGACCCCATCACCCACACGACAAGCAGCTAGGCAGCTCGTCAGCTAGCACGGCCGGTCGTCGTCGAAGCTACATATATACACGACGTACGTACTGCGCGTCTGCGCCCCCCGGCCGTCCCCGGTGTGCGTCGTCCGTCTCCGGATCCTCTTGCAAGCCGAGACGATGAGCTCCAGGTCACCATCGTCAGCGCTTGCGGTGCTGCTCGTGGCGGCGGCGCTGGCGGGGGCGGCGTCCGCGGCGACGCTGCAGTGCGTGCAGGTGGCGCAGCTGATGGCGCCGTGCATGCCGTACCTGACGGGCGCGCCCGGGATGACGCCCTACGGCATCTGCTGCAACAGCCTGGGCGTGCTCAACCAGCTCGCCACTACGCGCGCCGACCGCGTCGCCGCCTGCAGCTGCGTCAAGGCCGCCGCCGCCGGGTTCCCGGCCGTCGACTTCGCGCGTGCTGCGGGGCTCCCCGCCGCCTGCGGCCTCTCCATCAGCTTCACCATCTCCCCCAACATGGACTGCAACCAGTACGTACTCTAGGCCATCATCGCCTTTGCTTCCTTGTCGGCTTCATTTCGCCATGCATTTGACATCGTCGTTGCGCGTTCGCCTAGCAGAGTTACAGAGGAACCATGACACCAACCGGGCACATCACATAGAATACAAGCTGAAGAACCAAGCTGTTCAAGTCGATCGAGTCGCATCATCTTCCAATCCAACAAAATAAAATGAAGAAACGCTACACCCATCTAGATCTTGCATCTCTTGCTGTTTTATTCCTTCAGGTCTTTTTTCTTCAACCAAAAGTTCTATTCATTCAGTTTGATGATTTGATCTTCTATCTGGATTTTGTGAACGAGTTTTCGTTCCTGTGGTTTTGAACTGTATGATCGTGTGTGCTTTTCAATTTGCCGCAACTGCAGTAAATAAAGTTCAAACGTATATTTTACTGAAAAACTCCAAATCCATGAGAACAGTCTTGTTCCAAGCTCCTACCAAGTTTAATTTCACACCAACCAAATGCATGAACGACATACAAACAAGACCTGGATAAACACTACCGACGACACAGCGAAACGAGCAGCGAACGACTGGATCACTTCAACACCTGTTGCCAGATTCCAGAAGGTGGTAAAACCCCTCCTGTTTCATAAAAAAAACACTTATTGCCAGCCTCTGCGCGCCCTGCTGTTAGCAGCAAAGGGGAAGGGAAACGCAGCAGGGGCGGGCCTAGGCCTAGGGCCACTCGCGACCCAACTAATCCAATAATGTCTGTATAATTTTTTAGCCCAATAAATGCTTCATTGGAATCTCCTGCCGCTCGTGAGTACGAGTCACCCCTCTTGCCTTATCGCTCACACAGTCGTAGGGTCACGTTGCGCCGCCGCTACTCGTAGCCGCCACACAAGCGTGCCAGCCTGACCACATGCAAATGATCCTAACTAGCTTCTACTTTGCATTAGCTCTGTCTCACTCAAGCAAGCCTCATACTCAATTCTAGTTGCTAGGTCTTTAGGTTGAATCACACAAACACACAAGCTAGCAACTACATAACTACATAAGAAAGCTAACTATAGAGCTAATTACAACTAGTTACAACTATAAGCTACCCGTGTGCTACACTAAACAAGAGAGCTATAACTACTCAAACTACACAAGCAAGCAAACACTACACAAGTAAACTAATGAATAAAGTGTAGTGTTCTATATCGAACCGGGCAAGACAGATGATGCAAGATATATCCTGAGGTTTGGTTGCTTGCCAGCAACCTACGTCCTCGTTGTGGCGAATCCCAACTTGGTGATTTGCGAGCTAATTGGCTTCACACGTCAAGCCCACCACACGAGTGCCACAAGAATCGCCCAAGAAGTGCACTCCAATTAGCCATGATTCCACTAAAGTCGCTCTTTGTGAATCTCGAGTGGGGAATGAGCACAAGAGCCCCTCACAACCAATTGATCGGAGCCGACAACAATCACCAATGCCGCTCAACGATCCTCCGCTGTCTCCAAGCCGTATAAGTGGTGGCAACCACCAAGGATAACATGAATCTAAAAGCCCTAGTTTGGTTTTAGTTAATTGATGAAACCTATTTGGACTAATCCTTGCATCTAAGTGTGTGACTAGATAGGATGGTCCAGTCCAAGTAAAGGAGCTAGGTGGCACTCATGGATGGAGATGGCCACATGAAATGAAGATCATGGTGATGGTGTGAACACATGTGATGATCAAGCTCCAGGACTTGGAAAAGAAGAAAGAGGAAAAACAAAATGGGCTCAAGGCAAAGGTCATATCCATAGGGCTATTTTGTTTTCGGTGATCGAGACACTATAGAGAGTGTGATCACATTTAGGATAGATGGTCGTACTATTAAGAGGAGATCTCTTATCAGACAACTCGATCATCTAATGCCACTAGGTGTTGGAAAACTTGCATATGAATTTAGGCCTAGTGCACATTCGGTGAGAAGTGAATAACCTTTGAAAAATAATTGTGAAAATGCTAACACACTTGCACGTGATGGTGAAACACTTGGAGTGTTAGCACATTTGCAAAGGTGGTGAAAAAGGTGAAGAAAAGGAGGCGTTGCCGGGTTCGGTGTGCTGCCCCGGGGGCACCGCCATGCCTTGTCTGGTGCACCGCCACCCCTGTGGTAGTGACCAGCTAAGGAGAACGAGAGGGAGCTATTCTGGTGGGGCACCGCCACCCCTTGTCCGGTGGCACCACCACCCCTAGGGCGGTGCCCACCTGGACATGACCAAGGAGAGCTGGTGCTAGGGTTGGCACCGGAAGTGGCGGTGTGCACCGCCACCCTATCTGGTGGCATCGCCCCTTTTCAACAAAGAGCGACTGAACTAGAGATGGGCACCGCCGCGGTCACCGCCACCCTATGGCGGTGCACCGCCCCATTTTTCCAGAGAGGAGGGAAAACGAGGGGCTGGCTCGGGGTGGCACCATCACCCCCTATCCGGTGCCATCGCCGCCTGTCCGATGCCCCAATGGCTAGTGATGACCGTTGGAGGGTCACCGCCACCCCCTGTCCGATGACAGCACCACCATATCTGGTGACCTCGCAGAAAGCTACTTCAAGGGGTAACGGCTCTATTTGCTTATGGGCTTATAAATAGAGGCGGTGTCCGGCCTTGGCCACTGTCTTGGCACTTCTAACAGCTGCATACACCCTTTGAGAGCTAAGCACACCACTTCACTCACTTGCACACTTGATTTTATCATCTTGAGTGAGATTGGAGAGCCTCTAGTGCATTGCTTAGTGGTTTAGCATCTTGTGGCACTAGTTGGGTGATTTGGGCTGGTGGAGATCTTGTTACTCTTGGTGTTTGCTGACACCTAGACGGCCTGATGATTGGTGGATCGTCGAGCGGAGGAAGGCGATTGTCTCCGGCTCCGATCATTGTGATTATGAGGGGTTCTTGTGTCTTCCCCGACGGAGCGCCAAAGACAACTCTAGTGGATTGCGCGGGGCTTGTGGATCCTCATCTTATGTTGGTTGTGCGGCACCCGATTGTGGGTTAGGCGTGTGATGCCTATTAGCTCGTGAACCTCCAAGTGAGTGAATCGCCACAATGGGGACTAGCTTGCCGTCAAGCAAGTGAACCTAGGAGGAAAAATTGATTGTGTCATCATTGTCTCCTTGGTATTCTTGGTATTCATTGTGATTGATCACTTGCCACGGCGGTATATCACCTCTACCACTCTCTTTTTTTACTTTGTGTATTTACTTGTGTAGAGCTTGTGGTAGTTGTAACTAGTTAGTGTAGCTAGTGTAGCTCTTTAGTTGTAGTTCTCTTGCTAGTTTGTTCACCTAGGTGTAAATTAGTGACTTAGCCCTTGTGTGATATGCTAGAGATCATAGATATTAGAATTGGATAGGTGGATTGCAACACAAGTGTAGTGCTAGCGCAAAATTTGCTTCGCCATCTTATTTACTAATCACTTGTCTAGTGTTGTTGTAGAAATTTTTAATAGGCTATTCACCCCCCTCTAGCCATTAGGACCTTTTAAGTGGTATCGGAGCCGTGGTCACCGTGATTTGAGGCTTAACAACCTTCGGTGTCAAAATGACTCAAATCAACAACACCAAGAAGCCACCCTAATTTGATGGCACAAATTATCCATATTGGAAGTCAAAGATGACCACACATATCAAGTCAATCAATAGAAATGTGTGAAAGGTGGTAGAGACCAAGATTGAGATTGCTAATCTAGAGAATCCCACCGCGGCCAAAGAAGTGCTTCTCTAAATCAATGACATTGCTCTAAGTGCCATTCATGATGCAATTGATGAGAGAACATTTGAGCAAATCAAGAACATTGAAATAGCTCATGAGGCTTGGAAGAAGTTAGAGGAATCATTTGAGGGCACACAAACGGTGAGAGGTGCCATGGCATACATTCTCAAGGAAAAGTTTGCAAGCTTCAAGATGAAGGAAGATGAGAGTATGCCAGAGATGTTCCATAGGCTTCAAGTGTTTGTCAATGATCTCAAAGCACTTGGAGAAGAGGTGAAGGACAAGGACTTCTCACACAAATTCTTGAGATGCTTACCATTAAGATTTGACATGTTGGTCACCTTACTAGTGAGGAGTGGTTTGGACACCGTGACACCAAACCAAGTATTGGGAGATATGATGACCGATGACACCTATAGAGATGATGATGAGAAGGAAGAAAAGAAGGAGAAAAAAGATGAGAAGAAGGATGAGAAGAAGAAGAAGAAGAGTGTGGCATTCAAAGCCATATCATCATCAAAGGAAAAGGCCAAACAAGATACATCAAGTGAAGATGATGATTCAAGCTTTGATGATATGGATGATGAAAAGATGGCTCTCTTTGTGAAGAGATTTGGCAAGTTCATGGTGAAAAAGGGGTACCGTGCTAGAAGAAAGAAGTCATCATCCAAGAGCAAGGATGAAGCAAGAAGGTGATTTAAGTGTGGAAGCAAGGATCATCTTGTTGCTCAATGCCCATACAATAGCGACAATGACGATGATGACAAGAAGAGCAAGAAGAAGGAGAAGAAGGACAAGATGACCATCAAGAAGAAGAAGGGTGGTTCATATGTGGTCACTTGGGATAGTGATGCTTCCTCAAGTCATGATGATGATAGTGATGATGACAAGACCACCAAGAAGAAGGCTCTTGCAAGCATTGCCATTAATGAGAAGTCTTCTCTTTTCGACACTCCATCGACTTGCTTCATGGCTAAGGCCACTAAGGTATAAACTTATGATGAAGGATGTGATGAGGAACATGATAATGAAAGTAAAAGTGATGATGATGATGATGAACCCACTAAAGATGAACTAATTGACATGTTGGATGATGCTAAAGAATATTTTGACATTAAGAGAAGAGAATGCAAAGACTTGCATAAGGAACTAAAAGCCCTTAGCAAGCCTTTGATGAGCTCAATGCTACTCATGAGAGTCTAAAGGAAGACCATGAGTGAGCTTGGCAAGGCTCACAAAAAGCTTGAAAAAGCTCATTCCTCTCTACTTAATGAGCAAAATGAGAAGGA